AAGAGCGGTGGCCATCGCGAGGAAGAATACCGATCGCCTAACTGGCCGTGCAACGAGGGCAGAGCACGGAGAACGGACGAGGAGGGATAGAGGACACGCTGCAAGAGGATGGTCGCGATATTCCCGGCGAAACTCACGCAGTTCGCGGATGAGCGAGCAGTTCTGCCGGCAGTATAATGGGACCCCCCGTAGTAGCTTACCTGCATCATCGACTAATCACGCCGGATAATAGGGAACAATGGCGGCCCCGTGAAAAGTGAAGCATACCCACCACTTACCTCCCAGCTCAACCAACCCCTCTCTGTCTCCTTCGGACGTCTTCCCGTTCTACGTCTCTCTGGCAAACGTCGGAGCCTGCTCCGAGATCGTTCCCGCGAGCTCGCTTCTCTTTTCGGCCTGCAACACCCGTCTCCCTCTCGGTCGCCACGCGGGGAGGATATAATCCTCTTACGCACCGAGCACAAAGTAAAATACGGACAACGCAAGGCGGTCCGACGAGGCCCTGTTACGCGTAGGCCCGAGGAAACAGCGCTGCTGAAATCCACGCGGTGAAATCGCAACTTACTCTTCGCAGGAAGGTCCTGTGAAATTTATCCCCAATGTTCCGGCGACTTTTCAGATTGACATCATGGCTTATCGTTGTATCCGTTGGAAATGGGATTTCAGGTTAACCGCGTGTTTTATTTAATCGTTAATGAATCGTTGATGGAAATATTTTGGACTAATTCCGAAGTGTATCTTGGTATTTTTCCTAACTTTTGGGATAGACGGGCGGATGGTTTATCTCTCTGACACACGCGTGGGTTATGGATTAAAGATGGCGTTTGGATTGGACGTCGTGTTTTATTCAATCGTTGGCGGTTCGATCTAGGAGAGAGAAATACCCAGGCGAATAGCGGATAAAGTAGCCAACGACTAATCAACAACTCGATACATAAACTATGCCTGTTTTCGCGAAAGCTTAATGCGATTAGAGCGAGTGTAACTCTCGATATAACCTCGTTACAGTCGGCTGAAACTAGAGTCGCGTCTGTGCCTCTTTCCGTTCGTTTCTCCGGGGGTTGGTCAACGGTTTCTCGTTACCTCTGCAGGCGGAGAGCCGTCGCGGGGTGGCAGACACGTGAACGGCGACACACAAACGGCCGTTGGTTCGCTTTGTCGTGCTCTACCCGGAGTTCCTCGCGAGACGAGAACGTACGCGTTTGACCCTTTTACCGGCACCGCTTTCCTTCCGCGGCGCTCGCCTACGCCGCTGGCCGTGTAATCATTCTCTCCTACTTTCGCGAGCCAGCCCGCGCTTTCACGCGGACGCTCGAATCGCTTTTGTGCCCTTCCGGCTGGATCCGCGGGAGGACCGGCCCATTATGCCACGCAACGCGCGCGTTTTGTTAACTTCGGGATGAAAGGGTCGTTAAAGGAGCCCTCCGGACTCGTTAGTCGTCCGTGATTCGCCTTCGGTGCTTCTCGCGATATGGAAGGGACGCGCGCGAGATTCTTCCTTCGCTCGTTATTCGCAAAATTTTCTGATTTCCCGAAGAGGAAGATCGTCGACGACGGGAACACGGCGATCACCTCGGAGGGGCGGTGGAGGAACGACAGGGCGCGATATCGGTATCGCGACGGAATCACGCGCGGTCCACTCTTAATTTCCGTCGCCTGACGCGTATTTAAGCCGTCGAGTATCGTGCGAGAGAGAAAGAGAGAGGGAGTGGGAAGGAGCGGGAAGGAGAGAAGCGGAAGGCGGCAGCGGCCGGGGGTTCCTGACTCGGAACGAGAAACTCACCCCCGCGGCCGGCTACGTACTCTCGGGGTATTTGCACGCGCGAATACGCGGCTCTGATACACCGACGCGCATAATGCATGTGGTTATAGAGAGCGAGAAAGGAGGCCCGGAACGGTGAAGAAAAAGAGGGAGCTAACGGATAGAGGTAACTAGAGAGTGGCGGTGGAAGGGAGAGAAGCAGTAGATTAGGTGGGTACATCGCGCGACTGCGGCGAGGACGTTGGTATAGAATAGCGGATATAGGTGTACGGCAACTACCATCGTGTGGCACACCGGTTAGCAAGAGAGAGAGTAAGAGAGAGAGAGAGAGAGAGAGGGAGGGGGAGAGAGTCGACGAGGCGAGCTAAAATGGGCGGCCGGAGAGGGGGACGGCTGACGAACGCGCGGGTTGCGAGGGGCGGAGAAGGACAGAGGGAAGCACGGGGTAGAGTAGAGCGAACGGGGTGTCGAGGGGGGTAGGCTATAAAGGCTAATTGGTTAAAAGCTCACCGCTGGCTGCAGGCTTAAATCAAGATCTTGGAGTGTTATAATGGATAAGTAACACGGCGAGGCACGGCCACCAGCCAGCGGAGTTGTGTGTTATCCCCACTCCCGGCGGCTGGCAGGGTAGGTAGCTTCGGCGAGGCAGCGTTTCCACCCCCATTCCGCGATCCGCAGGATCGTCGAGGGCGAGTATCTTTCGAGTTAAGGACGACGCGGCTCACGCGATTGGCCCGCACCTACGGCTACCCCCGTGCCGGATACACTCTGCCACGAGTCATCGATCGCGCCTCCACCCTATGAGAAATCGCGACATCCATCCCCTACGGTAAGCCATTTGCTCCGCCCCGCCCGCTGCCCCTCCAACAACGACACCCCCTCTGCCAACTTGCAGCTTAGCCGTCCTCTCTGCTCCCCTCCACGCACCCGCCACCCCTCTGTCTTCCTTCCATCCGCGCCTCGACCCTCTCGTTCCAACCATCCCTTCGGCCCGTTCGTCTGTCCTTCGGTAGTCGTCTGTCTATCCGACGCGCAGCGCTAGCTACACCACCCCGTCGCTCTCTCCGAGCCTCGCTCTCCTAGCGTTCTGTCCTTCTTCGCCCGCCTCCGTCTCCATCTTCTCCTTCTCTTTCTCTTTCTCTTTCTCCTTCTCTTTCTCTTGCTCTTTCTCTTGCTCTTCCTCTTTCTCCACCCTGCCCACCCTTCCTCCCTCTCTCTCACTCACCCTGCCTCTCGCTCTCCGTCTCCGCTTTCCCTTTTTTTCACGTCGCTCCGCGCGCTCCGGCTGCGTGCGCGAATGTTCGAGTAAGGCCCTCGTTCGTGTGACCTGTGGTTTCTCCGGCGTTTTCCTACCCTTAGTGCGAGCACAGTGCCCATCCGCAGTCCATCATTCGCCACGATACGCGTTCGCGATTCTCGGCTCGCTTCTCCCTCGCGGTTCCGCGGTGTACTCGGTTCGATTCGTACCCGCGAGTGGCCGATGATCGCTCCGCCGATCGCGTCTCTCTACCAACGCGAACCGGGATCCCGCGATCGTCCGCGAAACGTGTTTCACCCTCGAAACGTGGATGCTCGAGGAGAAACGAGGGAAAGAAGGAATCGCCGATCGTCGCGTACCATCGCGCGACGTCCGTCCGGATCGAGTGATAAATATATTACCAGTGGTGGTTGGACCGAGCGATCTCCGTCGATGTCGAGGAAGCTTCGGCGAACACCGGCGAACGAGTGATTAACGATCAGTGGAAGAGAAAGTGACTGGAGGAAGTGACTCCGTGTTACTCTTCGCGGTTTTACACGCACGGCAACGTCTCGCGAATAGACTAGCGGCGAAGAGGGGTGGAGAAGATCGGTCGGGGTGAGGAAGAGAGGAGAAACGGCTACGTGTCAGGCTGGTAGGCGGTGGTAGGAGGAGGAGGCGCTGCCACGAGTACACGCATACACGCAGCCGGCACCGTGACACACACGGTACACGCGAATAAAGGCAGAAGAGGGTGGTGGATAGAGGTGGTCGAAGGACGAGAGGGGTGAAAAGAGGGTGGCTCTGGAAAGGGTGGGCCCTCCAAGTGTCTTGTCTCCTATCATCCTGTCGTCCAGGGTATCGCTTACGAATGTCGCGCGATCGAGCGATCCGTCTCCGATCCAGCACGACCAGGGACACCCTGCCGTCGGAGGCGTCGCGACCAACCCGCTAGCCTACGCAGTGCAGTTTACCATTCGCACGGTGCTTCGCTCTCTCCGCTTGATATGCGACGCGAGCCGCGATTCGAACCGCTCCGCGTGTCGGATAGACCGTTGTCTGCCGCCGTCGGCCCGTCGACGGAGCAGCTGCCTCTGCGCTTCTGACGGGACGAACGCGTACCACGCGCCGGAACCATCGTGTTCGGTGACTACTTGCTCGACTCCTGTGTCATTCCCGGTGGAACAGAACTGCAGACTCTCGCCTTCCGTTCGGGCATCCGTGAACGTCGCAGCGGACTATTTCGGCGCGCGTCAACGATGTCCGGAGAAACCGAGATCGAGGTATCCGTGGTGTCCGAGGAGGATCTGGAGCTGGAAGGTTCGCGGAGCAGTTCCACGCCGGCAGAGTTGCTTCTGCAGGAGAAAAACGGGAAATCGGGTTGCGGACTGAACAACCACCACTCGTTCAGCTTCGACGTGGGCAAGCCGGCGCTCAGGCCGGCCTGCAATCCTCAGTACACGTCCTTCAGCATCTCTAGTATCCTTGGCAGGCCCGAGTCGCCGCCGATCGACTCCACGTCGACCGTGTCGGCCGAGAGACAGTCGTCGGACGTGGACAGGAGTTCGCCGTTGCCGGCGACCATAGCGCAGAACTCGCAGAGGATCGGTTCCTCCTGCGACAGTCCGGCTAGGGGTCTGTCATCGCCGACGTCCTTGAGATTCTCTGGCAGCCAGAGAGGTAGCTCGACGGTCGGTCACGCGGTGGAAAATAGGAACAACGCGACCAGCATGGGGATCGGTTGTGCTACCAGTGCTACCAGCCCGGCGTCCACCTTCTCTCCGCCCAGCGACGCCACTGCGAACCCTCTGCTCGGTCATCAAGCGTCGGCCGACTTGGCCATGCTGTCGAGGTACGTTTTCCTCTCTATCGATCCGCTATTTTGCGTCTACTTTCCAACAAACTTCCTGCCTCTGCACACGCGTTAGTCTTTCGCTGTCGCTCCTCGTGGTCCACCGATTTTGCGTGTCGTTATTGCTATTCGCGCCAATTGTTAAGTTTCGTAATCGTGAAGCGATCGGCTAGCTATGCTTCGCGACGAATGGATCGAATCAAGGACGAAATCATCGTAAACCTCGTACCTGGCGTTTTGCAACCCGTTGATTTTCCCTCGCGCGGAACCATCGAACACCGCAATCTATCCTAAACAAAATTCACCACGGATGAAACCCGTTCGAAAATACTCACCTATCCGTTGTTTTCCACCGGTTTTACCACGTTCGCGGTTTCCGCGAGAATAATTTAACGCGTTGTTCAAACGAATCACGAGCACGCGGTAGTACTTATTTATCGCTCCGATGGTTCGCGGAGTATAGTTTATCCGGGCGCAACTAGCGTTTCCCGTTAATGCGTCAACGCTACTAAATGGCGCTATCGATGTTTACTAATAAGGAATTAGCGCGCGCCATCAATTTTATATCCATGCCGCAATGTCGACCGGCCGCGCGATAGCTACTTCACCGAGGATCGCGCGCCATCGCGTACGATTAACGCTGATCGACGGCAATCGGGATCCAATCGGCACGTGTAACCCGACCGCGGCCTCCATCGCCACTCGCCGGCCGAAAATTCCGATTCTCCGTTATTTTGCGGGAAAGGCGTCAAAGGGAAGCCCGATATTTTCCTGCATCCCAAACTTCTTCGCGGGAAACGTCAACAAGCGATCGTCGTCCACCGGGACCCGCGAAAGGGACCCCGATCAAGTGGATCAACCGGCGCGTCGCTGGGATCCCTGTTCGCGACGCCGTAAATCAAAGCACGACTCTTCGAATAATAACACCGTGAAAAATGTTCTCTGGTGTCCAGCCGGGGACGTTGTTTCTCCGTCGCGTCGGCGTCGAACGAGACGCGTCCCCCGATGGCGGTCCAAAATTAGAAGACGATGAGATCGAGGACCGTGCAAATGGAGGTTTCCTCGAATCACGGATGAAATTTCGAGGTGCGACGGTGTGCGTTCGCGTTTCTTCCGTGTCGGTGTACCGGAGGGGGGGTCCGCTGGAATCGTGTACGTGGACTTGGGTCGGGGAACGGAGGGGTTGGGGGTGGTCGGGGAGTGATAAAGTAGCGGAGAAAGCGGGCAGAACGCGTGGCTGCAGCTTCGGATTATATTATGTGGGAATGGACCGAGGGGTCCGTAATGGGCCTATTAGGCTGTCTCATTTAATAACAACCGTAGCAACAACCACCCTCTTACGTTACTTACGTTACTTAGGGCCGTCCGGCTCTATATCGGATATATCTCGGCGAGGAACTCGAGCCAGGCCAAGCTGCGCCACAAGGGGCTGCCAGAGACGAGGGAGGGTTCGAGATGATTTTATCAGATTTACACCCCCTTCCGATTGACGGCTCCCCACTATGTAACCGGCTGCTTGCCTGCCTGCTTACTCGCGAGCTCTCGTACCGGTTCGATGCCTCCAATTGCTTGTTTTCCACCCGTTTACCATTTGATTAAGTTCCACTCCAGCCTGCGGTGCAGCGGGACGCGCCACTTCCACGCGGGGAAAAGATCATTTGGATAGGGCACGAGCCTGTCAACGCGAGGGTGTACCCCTAAATCGTTTTCCGGCTCTGAGACACGTTTGCTTTCAACGGAAAACGGTTATTCCGAGGTCTCGCCAAGTCAGAAGACCGAAACAGTTTCGCATAAACCGTGGACTCCCTTTGACATACCGTAACAACGATGATACGATGGATAAACGATACAATTATTCGAATACAGGGTGAGGGAAAGCTTAAATTCTTCTCGTAACGATTCGCATTAGTAGCTGATCTATGGCTACCGAATTGACAATGAAGAGTTCCTACAAAGAGAGTATCTGGTCCTAGCAAAGTAAGGATACACGATAGACGAAGAATACATAATCTATGCACTCGGCGATTTTTTCGTTACAGAAAAATAGTAATTCGAAGACTTTCTTGGAAATAAAGTCGACGATGTTTTTAAAACGGTGAATGACAAATCGTATACAAATTAAGACGTAGAATTATTTTACTTCGACATACCACGCATCGTTGGGTAATTTTAAATTTGACGTATTAATTAACACCGATCTTTAAAATCTGATTAAATGGCGACCGAGGGTCGTCTCTAGAGAGCAAAGAACTGAATAGTGGAAGCATTCGACATTTTAGCATCCTGGAAGAGTTCTAGAGTCACGAGACATAGGCACCCTAAATTGGGTAGGCATTCTTGATCATTGCCTGACATAGGATGACCAATCAGTCCAGAAACTGTACATATTCTGATGAAAACGAAGATTCGAGATTCTCGCTGTCACGGAACCACTGAGAGTCGCTTCTCTAGTGCCAAGGGCTAAAAAGTGGAAGCATTCGACGTTTTAGTACTCCTGGAAGAGTTCTAGAGTCACGAGACATAGACACCCTAAATTGGGTAGGCATTCTTGATCATTGCCTGACATAGGATGACCAATCAGTTCAGGAACTGTACATACTCTGACGAAAACGAAGATTCGGGACTCTCGGTGTCACGGGACCGGTCTCCCGTTCCAAAGGGACTTTAGAGAGGAACCAAGCGTTGGGTACCCCTCGCAGGATGAAGGATCGAATATCAGCGAGGTGGCAGGCGCGGAAAGTAGGAAAGAATCAATTAGGCAACGGGTGCATAATACATGAGCGGATGAAACGGCAGCGCGTAGCCAGAGTTAAGGAGCCTAAGGCTCCCGGGAGGTACGGCCACCTATCCCGGCTCGTTTCGGCTACCCCTGCGAGCGTCTTCCGCGCGGAGGAAGCGAGCAACTTCTAGGTTTGATTTATTATTAAATCGCTGCCTACGGCATCCGAGCCTCGGCAGTCTTGGCCTCGCCAAGGTCTCGCCAAGGCTAAGTAGACGAAAAGCTTGCACCGTGAAATCTCCCCCGACCGTCTCGACGCTTAACGTCCCCTATCCCTCTCTCGCTCTCTGAACTGATACGGTAATAGCATTTCCAGGGAGAAGAGATTTCAGCAGAAAGGATTCCCGTGTAGAATATTACCTGAATTAGACGCCCGCGAATTTACCTCGCCTCCACCTTCGTCTCGCCACTTTCGCGCACACGCGAGCGCGCGCGGAAGCGCGTTAACCTCCACTCGCGATACCCGTCGCTCTAAACTGCTTTCCGTTCTAAGAGAATGGGTCGCGAATGTTCTCCCGACGTCCCTGCCACCGGTTTCCGCGAGTTCGTTTGTACGTGAAAAACATTTGTATTATAACGAGAACTGTGTTCAGATTTATCGAATAATTTTCTCCTTTTCGACGATTCCCTAACGAACTAGGGATAATTTCCTGGGGATAATTTCGTGGGTGCAGAGATGCGAGAGAAAGAAGGGTATCATTCTGCGGCTGGCAGGAAAATAATTTAACTTCATCGCGTATATACGCTGGGTGAGGTATCAGGTTGAAGAAGGGGGTAGATGCGCGACAAAGCCGTATTAAAATTGATAATATCCCAGTAGCGGCTCGCGTGGTCGCGATGGCGTCTGTGAATTAATCAGGGGGCCGCGTCGCGCAGCAGAAACGCGTCTCCCGTTTATCTTCGACATTTTCCGCACGGTCCAATCTAATTACCGCGTGTTTATCCCGACAACAAATGTAACGGCATTGCATTTGAAGGAAAAACCGTCGGCGGGGCGAAAGGGTGAGGGAGGGGCGAACAATAAAGGGGGTCGGAGGAGGAAAAATCTCGCACGGACACGGGATCGGAGCAGGAGAGATACCAGCAGAAGCGTCGTAAAGATATACGTGTGTATTATACTCGTGTATACATATATATATATATATTTTTCCTCTCCTCTCTCGCTCTTCTCTTTTGCCGCGGCGCAAAAGTGGCGCGGGCCCCTTTGCAAGGGGGCAACAATATTCAGTAACGTAACCGCAGGCACATGACGTCTATGCGCAAAAGATCTGGCCGGGATAATCCGCGACAGAGTCGGCCTCGTTAATTACAGCGCCGATGAATGATTCGTTAATTAGCGTGGGATCGCGCTCGAAGTTTCAAAGGAAGGTACGATAAAGCCCATTGTGTATGATCGCCCGTTCGAGGGCGATATGGATGTTCAACGTCGGAAACAAATGTGGAATGAACGGTAGCTGGGAATAGACCACGAATAATAATCGCGTCGAAACACAGTTTCTCTCTGTCTCTCTCTCCTTCTGCGTTTCTCCTTTTCTCTTTCCTTTTCCTTTTTTTTTTCACTCTCCCGTTTTCTCCTCTCTCCCTCCCGGTCTCGCTTCGTGTACGTGTGTCGTTTCGATTCGCTCCTCTCTTCTTCTTCGAGCTCGTTCCCTTTATTCTCCCGTTCACGCTGATGACGCCTCCGTTCTCTCGCCGAAATCGAAAACCCCCGTTCCAAGTACTTTGCCATATTTTTCGCGTATCTGTACAGTGCACGTATCTTTATAGTATGTTATGGCGATCGTTCGATTTTCTATTTAAATTTTTTAATAGGGGGTGTAGGGGGTGCGATGGATTCTTGTCGGGAAGCTTCATATATAGCGGTCCTCTTGAAGAACGGGTTACTATAATACTGGACAATTGCAATATCGAGTGTAGGAGGTACGTAGAGTACTAGGAAGTTCCCATATATACTAGGAAAATTCCCTAGGAAGTTCGCCATTATACTAGGAAGTGTTTGACGAAAAAATGTCACGTTTCGTGGAAGGGTAAGACTGGTAACTGCACGTATGGAAAAATTCGGACACCCTGTGTATTTTGATAGCACGTCGACGTCGATGGGAGAAACGTTAATCGCGTAAGATGAATTTTTCGAGCGGAAAAACGTGGCGCGATAGCTGTCGGTTCCGGTACACGTTCCGGGGGAAATTGATTTCGAAAACAGGAATACGCGTTCACTCTG